TGCAGGGCAGGGGGGGGATGTTAGCGTAGGGGTGGGCGAAGTGAGCGCACAGGGGGACAGCTCCGTCCCAAAAGCCACTCTGAATTTGTGTTGGTGTTGTCTGATAAGCTTAGGCATCGTTTGCTTTCAATGTCAAGTTAATAATTCGGTTATTTGTTTTGAAGATAAAGTCTGGGGTTAAACTCGCTGCCTTCTCTCTAGTGAGCGGGGCGAGCTGCGTCAGCGGTGGGAAAGGCGCAGCGGAGTCTGCGGTAGGTTTCGTAACGGGGAGAGTAGGTCTGCTCGTTGGACGAGGCACCTTCTTAATTTTTAAACTTCTGACAGCTGTTCGTAATTGTCGTGGATGGGGATTCAGAGTAGCGTATCACTGTAGTTGGAAGAAAAAGGAAGGAGACAGTACATCACAGAATCACAGAGTGGAAAGGGCTGGAAGGGACCTCTGGGCATCATTTGGTCCAACCCCCCTGTCAAAGCAGGCTCACCTAGAGAGAGGTCACAGAGGATTGTGTCCAGACAGGTTTTGAGTATCTCCAGAGAAGGAGACTCCACAGCCTCCCTGGGCAGCCTGTTCCAGTGCTCTGGCACCCTCAGAGTAATGAATTTCTTCCTCATGTTCACGTGGAACCTTCTGTGCTCCATTTATTTGAATGACAGTGAATTCCAATGGGAGTGTCAAGGAGTGGCAAGTAGAAACAAATTACCACTCCTGTAAGAGAAATTAAATTTTAATTCAAAGTCACGAAGTTCTTTATTCTCTAGAATTGCTGTTCTCTAGAATGCTTTCTTGATTTCTGCAGTTTGGATGCTAAATCTACGAGTATCCAGGTGGTAGTTAAAGAAGGGGGTCTGAAGCTCATCCAGGTCCAAGATAACGGCTGTGGTATCAGAGTGAGTAAACAAAGCTGACAACTGTATGCTGATGTTTAATACTACCTTTTAAAATTTATTTAAAGTTTCTGATCTTGAAAAAAACTTGGAAAGTGACTATGACTTGTCCCTTTCACACAGAAAGAAGATCTGGACATTGTATGTGAGAGATTCACTACAAGTAAACTGGAAAAATTTGAAGACTTGGCTAGTATTTCTACGTATGGTTTTAGGGGTGAGGTAAGCTCTTCACAGAGGTTTTTAAACTGTTCATTGTTTGTTGTGATCCTGGTGTAGTGGGGTTTACTTACTATCTCATGCCCAATAGTCTTTACAGAAGCTTCTCTTTCTGTCAGAGTCTGCCACGTGAATATAGTTCAAAATACATTTCTATGTCTTTCAAGATTAGGTGGATGCCTAGGGAGAGGTATGTATTCTTCTTGCTTTCTGGAGTAAGGTGTTGGGGTTTTTAAAGTAAAACAAGGCTTGTCTTCTCAAATGCTGCTTCAGGAACCTACAGGTGAAAGACAAAGATTTGAGTGGAAGGTGACTCTGATGTCAGACATTTGTCTAAATACAATACTTAAAACTAAATGTTTGACACATACATTTGTATTCCTTTGCTTTTGCTATTAGTCAAATGTAGTATCTTTGACCCCTCGAATGTAGTTGTTCTGCCTATTCTCATAGGCTGTATCTAAACTTGACTGAAAGAACAGTTCAGGAGGAGTTCTGCTTTCCCCTCCAGATGGACAACAAGCTACCCAAGTATGTCGCCTGTGCTCAGATACATAGATCGTTGCATGCTCTCGGAAGTGACTGCTTGAGTCCTCTCCTCACACACTTGCAACATAACCAGCTCCACCACCAGCGGAGTCTGGTCCTGAGGCTGGTTTCAGCAGGCTGTGTACACACATCCACCGAGTTTTCCAGGAAAACCACTGTAACCTAACTTTGTAATATTACCTACAGTCAGGAGAAGAACTTGGGCAGGGATGGGAAAGCAATGGCTAAAACCTTCCCGCTAGTTTTTGTTAACATGAAAGAAAGAAAAGGGCACAACTGTGGTAACTTTGCAAATTTATTTTAGTTACGTTACATGGCTAGCTGCTTGTGTGTCAGAGAGAACGAAATGTTAGAAAAGCCAAAAGAAGGTCCTGGATAAAAGTCAGTGTTACAGGTACTAAAATTTGTTAAAGCTTTACTGGCCTGCAGTTTTCTTGTAAGGGTTTTTATTAATCACTTGCAAGTAGTATATAAAAATTTAGTGATCTGTTTGAAGTGTGGACACTCCTCAGTGGCCTCCAGAGTGAGGTTTACAAAGATGCTTTCTTTTTCTCTAGGCGTTGGCTAGCATCAGTCATGTTGCCCATGTTACAGTAACAACTAAAACAGCTGATGCAAAGTGTGCATACAGGTATGCCTGTGCGTGTGTGACTTCTGCTGTGTGTAATAATGAACAGGTGGATTTAACCCTCTTTTCAGTGCTCTTATTAAGGAGGAGGGTGGGGTAAGGAATTGTTTCTAAGGTAGTTACAAAAAAGACCCAGAATATGAGAAAACATAGTTAGAGTGATTTTTTAAATTCCAGATTGTAAAGATAAGCTTTAGCTAAACAACATGTTTTAAAAGTTGGGGGGGGGGAGTGTGGGGAAATCATAAAGGGAATTCTTCTTCAGCAGCCCACGTAGGGTAAACTGTCTTTTTCTCCCTTTCAGGATAAAATGGTGCATATACACAGTCACTGTGTCTTGCAAATTTCATAAGTTTCTGAGCACAAGAACTTACAGCTTAGTTTGCTTTTGTGTGGTGCCTAATCCTATCCAAAAAATGGTTTGACTATTCTTCTGAAATTTTACTCTGAATATTAGCAAGCCTATCCATTGATTTCTCAACTACTTTTAAGAAAAAGGAGGAGGAACAAAAAAAAAAGAGCAGCTTTGCATCTTGGTTTTTCAAAGCATTGTGTGACTGTGGTCTTTCTTGCATTAAGTATGCAGGGTATGTGACAGGGCAAAAAAAAAAAGTATGACCTTTGAAATTATGCACCTCTATAAGTTCCTGAAGGACCTACGTGGGTCAGAAGCCTCCTATGCTCAAAACCCTTTCACAGCCAAAAAGGAAACAGATCTTGTATGTAAAGTCAAGAATAACTGAAGTGTAAAGTCTAGTGGAAAAAATATTATTAGTCCAGGTCTAGCCATTAGAGAAAGATAAAATACAATAATCCTGCCTTTACAGACCAAGGCTCAGTAATACCATTTCAAAACACGTATCCCGTTACCTGCCCCTTTTTCTCTGCCATTATTGCCACTCGCCCACTGCCCCTCTGGGTCCCACAGTCAAGGAAGACAGCTTTCCTCTAGCAGGAAGTGGGGTTGGGGTTTGCAGCCAATTGCCAGTGTCCCAAGTTCTTTGCTGGGAGGAGTGTGACGGTGTTGAGATTTCTTTTGTCTTCTCCCTTTTGTCATCATCTGTCTGTGTTTGCCCCCCTGTAAGTCTAGATGTCTGACAACCTTTTTTTATTTTCTGCCTAGAGCTACTTACAGTGACGGAAAAATTAAAGCCCCTCCGAAACCCTGTGCTGGAAACCAAGGAACGCAGATCACAGTAGGTTTTTGTGCATGTTCTTGTCCCTTTTCTGTTCCCTGGTCGTTACGCTTGCACCACTTACTGGTATGTGTTACACTGTAAGGTATACATGACAGTATCACCTTGTAGAATGTTTCCCTTACACCCAGCAGCCTTCCCATGTCAATGTTTCGGATAACGTGCTTTAAAAAAAGCTAAACTTTAAATTTCTGCCGTTCTCAGTACAGCAGAATAATAATTTGCATGTTATTTAAATAAATAGTGAAAATGAACAGTTTAAGCTGCTGTTTTCATGCCATTAACAGCCTTGATTGCAGCAACTGTTTTAACTGTATTTGCATTTCATTAAAACACAGTGTAATCAGGGAATCCATTGCCATCCGCAGTGGAAGGTATATAACTTTCACTGAAAAGTGAGCTGTAAAGTTGTTGTTGGTGGTAAAAACACTGATGTACCAAAATACAATGTACTTTTCTCTGGAGTTGTATTTTGTTAGGTCAACCTGAGCAGGGAAGGAATAAATTGAATGTTGATCCTTCACGAGCTAAAATACTCTCAGAAAATTCTGTAGTATCTAATTCCATCTTCTGATGATCTTAAAGGTCTTTTCTAACCAAAATGATTCTATGATTCTTAATAGATTAGTTATATAGTGAGAGAAGATTTTTTAAATGGTTTTTAATTGTGATCTTTTTCTCTGTAGGTTGAAGATCTCTTTTACAATGTAAATACACGGAGGAAAGCTTTAAAAAATCCAAATGAAGAATATGCAAAAATACTAGAAGTTGTTAGCAGGTAAACTGAAATAGGAGGTTCCAGTTTTTTACACTGCCATGGGGAGTACTGAGGTTTTTGAGAGGGACTGGCAGGTGTGTCTTTGGTGTCACTTTGTTGTTGGTGGTTTTAGTTTTTTGTTTGTGGGGGGTTTTTTTAACTATTTATTAGCGTACAGTGTCAGATAACAGCCCAGTTTGATATGGAAGATCTAGAGGAGAAACAGTGTATTCAGTCTATCACTATTATTAGTAGAATTGGAGCAAGCAAATCGTGAGAGGCTTGAATGAGTGAACTGTCAATGAACTTGGGCTGAATTGAATCCAAGTGAAAACTGTACAGGAGTGTTGAGATTTGGCCGAGTATGAAAAAGCTGAGAGGCGGTTTCATGTCCTCAGAAAAAGTAGTATCACTTTAGCAACCAGATGTTCTCTTCCTGGGTCCCTTCGTTGTGTCTTTTGCCACGTGCAGAAGCTTTGCAAGCAGGATCTACTCCGTTTAACCAAAATGACTGCTTTACGCTTTCAGTGAACAACAGCTGGCAAAGAGTAGCAAGACTGTATGCTGAGTGTTAGCCTGCTCCCTGAATGAGATACTTAAGAGTCTACTGGCCAGGCAGGCTTCAGCCAGGGGGTGAAGGGTCAGGTCCCACTGCTCCATCCACAAGCTGATCTGAAGTCTTGCTGAGTTACAGGCCTCCAACTCATTGGGTCTTTTTTCCATTAGGATTTTACATCTTTTAATTTTGGTTTTTTTTTCCTCTTGAATTTTCGAGTTGCTAATTGTCCTGGTCACAACAGTCTAACCTGTCAGCATTTTTAAGTTTCTCGTCTTCCAAGGTTCTACTGTGTGTTCTTCCTCCCAACTTAGCAACTTCCCTAGGCATTTGAGCCAAGGTTACGCTTCTGTAGGGTATGAGAACTTGGCCCTGGGGTCACAGACAGCCAGTCTGGGTAGGGGAAGTTAGAAGGGTGAGGCAGCCATTGTTCAGATCCTCCTCCACAGCAGTTGAGAATGGTTGTTATACTGAGGAGGTTTTGCTGCTGTTCTAGTTAAACCTATGCCATGAAACCAAACTGACCATGTCTATAGAAGTTGATAATTTGTTCTTGAGAGATAAGCTAAGGTGATCCTTGAATTTCATATGGTTACAGGTGAGTTATAAAAATAAGTGGTTTCTATTTATAGCTGTTTAGTTTACAAAAGCTCGGTTTGGCTCAAATCACATTACGGTGTAACAGGAAATGAAATTGTTTGCCCCTGTACTACCTGCTTTTCAGCATTCAGGGAAAGTAAATTTTTCTTTCTCATACTGCAGTTCTTTGTTTACCTGTTTTTCAGGTATGCCATCCATAACTCTGGCATCAGCTTTTCAGTTAAAAAGGTATGAAAAGTCTGTGTGTGTGTGTCCTTCCCTCGTACTGAAATGTTGACATGCATGCTGATGCAGTTTGGGTAGAAAACACATTAGTTAAAGGTAAACAAGACAAGAATGTATTTGTCAGGAGTTTGAAGTTTTCTGTGTGGTCAATGTTTTTATTTTGTTTTAGCTTGGAGCTGTTTCAGCTTCTTTTGAGAGTCTGGTTCCTAATTACTGTATGAAAGAGGATGGGGTAGAGTGCCTTCATTCTGTGGCATTCTTGATAATTATTTACTGAACTGCTTACGTTCCTCACTTTCAGAGACGGAGTGACCAGCCCGAATGGGTCTGATGTGATCTAGCAAATCTTGTAATCCTGTGCCATTTACCATCTATAAGTAAATAATAATACAAAACATTATGATGATGTATGTCCCTTGCTGTTGTGTTAGAAGTGTTACTGTTAAGTTTAATGTATTTCTAAACTTCAGCCAGAACTGCGCATTGATTGATACTCATTTCTGCTCTGTTTAGCAAGGGGATACCGTGTCAGATGTTAGAACCTTATCGAATGCCTCAACAGTGGACAACATTAGGTCCATCTTTGGAAATGCTGTTAGCAGGTATGTTGATGTCAAGTTTCCTTCCTCAGGTTTGCTGGAGAGCTGTGCTCACCAGCTACCACAATGGATTTCCATGTCTAATGAATCATGAAAATTATAAAATCTATTAAAACTACTATGAAAATCGTTAATGTTGGAATCTGTATACATGAGCAGGAAACAAATGTTGACATTTTTATGACTTTAACAGCCCACCAATAAATATTAGACTGGCAAAAGTGGACAGAGTAGTTCGAGAAAAAGCATGTTCTTCCCTGGCTGCTGACAATTCTGAAGTGTCCTCGTCTATCTCTGTAAATGGTGAAATGGTGAAATGCATATTAGAATGATCAATAGATGGTTATAAAATTATGGATACTGTGATAAGGTATTAAAAAGATACTGTGGATAGTTTTACAGGCTCCAATCATACTGTATTACTACTTTACATTTACTTAGAAAGAAGAGACAATGCAGTTCAGGTGAAATAGTTTTTATGACTCAGCAATGAATGTTTGAACTCTCAATTCTAATGTTTTCACTAACTGTGATATAAACCCAATATAGAACAGTATATTGCTACTTGTGAGAACTGCCTGAAATTTGCATCAACAAAAAAATGCATTTTTTGTGTGTTTCTGTCAAATTGTCAATAGGGAACTAATAGAAGTGGGTTGTGAAGATGCAAGTCTGGCCTTTAAAATGAAAGGCTACATCACGAATGCAAACTACTCTGTGAAGAAATGTATATTTTTACTCTTCATAAACCGTAAGTTAAAAAAAATAGCAGCATGTTGTAGTCATATGTTGCTTACATACTAATCAGAAGAACAAAACTTCCTGAAGAACTGAAAAAGGAGAATTCTTAAAAACACTGAAGTATTACAGTTAACTGTAGGTCTTAAGGTGTTGTTCTATTTGTAACCTGCATCATGCTTTCCAGTCTAAATAGTGGAAAGCAGCTAAGACTGGGCCTAAAGTAACTTAAGCTTGTGGAGCGTCACGGTTACAATTGTGTCCTGCCAACTTACACAGAGGGGTCTCTCCATTCTGTAGCAACATTGGCGTAGGATGCAATAAACCTTGACTGTATGAAATACTGAAGTAACCAGACTACCTTTTCATTATTTGTGGAAAAAATACTCTAAATATAAAGCATAGTAAGAAGATACTGCCTATTCCTGGTTTTATGTGAAGAATAAATAGGTCTGGGGAAAAATGGGTATAACGGATGACCTTTGAAGATACGAAGCGTGAAGATGTTGGCCTGGGAGTAGCTGGGCACCGTGCAGCGTGTTTTGGTGGGGCTTTGAAAATAGCATTTTGTTCTGTGTTTCAGATCGATTGGTAGAGTCAGCCGCTTTGCGGAAAGCCATAGAAACTGTGTATGCTGCTTATTTGCCAAAAAGTACACATCCATTCCTATATTTAAGGTAAAGTAATAGGAAGAAGTAGCGTTTTAATACTATCTTGTAGGACATAGCCAGGGTGAGTAGGTTTAGAAGGACATTTGTGTTTGTGATAGTAATGTTAAGCATTGCACTGAGGTAATTAATTGCCAGAGAGGAGATAATTAAATATTAATTTAATTAAGACAGGAGATAAGAAATCTTAAGACGACAGGCCTTACTTTCAGAAGTAGTCAGCGTGTCTGTAGTTTCAAGTCCTTTCATGTTAACTCATGAGACAGTGCAAGTCAAAGATATTTCTAAAACCTGTTTTTTGTAGTAGTACGACGGAGAGTTTGGTTTAAGCTTGGCTATATAAGCTGATTTTGGTGAGTTGGGAATAGAGCTCTTCAGGTTAATTATTCTTTAATATACCAAACAAATCTGACTGCAGTGTGACTTTAGCAGGTTTCAGGACCACTTTGACTCCTTTGCCCCAAGCCTGACAAATCTTGCACTGAACCTATTTGTGCCCTCTCTGCCATCCATGGGAAACTTTAGGTTAACTTCTTTTAAAATGTTTTCCAGCCTGGAAATAACTCCTCAGAACGTAGACGTGAATGTGCACCCTACAAAACATGAGGTCCATTTCCTTCATGAAGACAGTATTCTAGAGCGTGTGCAACAACATGTAGAGAGCAAGTTATTGGGCTCGAATTCTTCAAGGATGTACTTCACTCAGGTGAGAATACGTGTTTGCAGCAACCACAGCTCTGCGCTATTTTAACGACTGTGGATACATTTACTCTGTTCAATTACAATCTACACAGTGACTGAAAGTCATCAGTGTTATACTGTTAGCTTGTGATCTTTGCTCCATGTTTCAAGGATGAAATTGCTTTAATATACCAATGTTAACAATGTGGCAGTGAACTTACTAGGAAAAAAGTGCATGAAAACATTTTAAATATTTTTCTGTCAAGTATCTGTTCAGTCTTTGATTTTCAAGTATATTAGTCTTCACAGGTGGTAAATTGTTTCTATTCTACGCTGGTTTGTGAAAGATGTGTGACTCAGGAAATAGTTTGTTCTACGTATTTGACAACACCTTGAATTTAATCTAAGCGGAAAAAAAAATTGGGAAGAATATCTCTTTATGTAAAGCATAGTTTAAAATTATTACAATAATCTTCTTAGAAAAACAATTTTCTTTTGCACTTTTTTACATTGAAGATTTTCGCTTTGATAAGGGAATGCTAACTAATGATTTCGTTAACTGCCAAGATGATGACATTTATGCTCTATGTCTGGCAAGTGTGAAGTTGGCAACCTGTGTAAGCAGTTGACACTGTGTTTGCGGGGTTTGAAAGGTACTTGCCTCTGAGCAGTAAGATGCTGTGAGAAGTGTGGCTGATCTTTCTGTGTTTTTCTTGTTGTTGAATCTATTCTCTTTGCTTTCTTGTATCTGAATGAAGACATTGCTTCCAGGGGCCGATTGTTCTTCCAGTGAGGTTGTAAAATCAGCCGCAAACTCTTCTGTGGTTACCAAAGGAACCAGTGATAAAGTTTACGCACATCAGATGGTCCGCACTGATTCCCGAGAGCAGAAATTGGATGCTTTTCTTCAGCCGGTGAACAACCCCCTAAGTACAGCCCCCGCTGCAGTGACGACAGAGGTTAATGCAGGACCTGCAGAGGCTGTGGTCAGGCCGCAGGATGCTGAAATGGAAGATGTCAGTGACCTAGTGGAAATGGCTGATGTTGAGGAGGACACAGTGATGCCTGGGGGGCTGAGTGAGAGTGGACGCTTGTCTCCAGAGACGGTGCCTCCTCGGTAAGTCTCATCATAGAATCACAGAAGGGTTTGGGTTGGAAAGGACCTTAAAGATCACCTAGTTCCAACCCCCCTGCCATGGGCAGGGACACCTTCCACCAGACCAGGTTACTCCCAGCCCCATCCAGCCTGGCCTTGAACACTGCCAGGGAGGGGGCAGCCACAGCTTCTCTGGGCAGCCTGTGCCAGTGTCTCACCACCCTCACGGTAAAGAACTTCTTCTGTACATCTAATCTAAATCCACCCTCTTTCAGTCTGAAACCGTTACCCCTCGTCCTATCACTACACTCCCTGACAAAGAGTCCCTCCCCACCTTTCCTGCAGGCCCCCTTTAGGTAGTGTAAGGTCGCTCTAAGGTCTCCCTGGAGCCTTCTCTCCTCCAGGCTGAACAACCCATCGTTCCTGTGGTCATGCATTCAGGCACAGCCCTGAAGTAAGATTTTTCTGATGACTTTGGACTTCTGCTTTTTCAGAAGGAAAAATTCTCTCAGACTAACTGATGGCATTTTATTCATAAATTAAACTTCATCTGTGAACTGTAGATTATGTAAATTGTGATAAGTTTTTTAACTGGAATGGGATTTCCATGCCTACTGAAAGGCAGGAAGCAGGACAAATAATGGCATTTAGTTTAGGGAGATCATACCGGTCTGTCTCTCTTTGGATTGTATTTTGTAGACATTGCCTTAGTAAAGATAAAAATGCTGTAATCTTTTAATAGCTCCTGCAGGAGCTGTTAGAAAAGGCCAAAGTCTTCCGAGGTAATCTGATTCCCCCCAGTATTACAGAAAAAGGGTCATGAAAAAAATCATTAGAAATATCAACATTTTTTGATGTGTCCTTTAGAACCCATTTCACTTGGTGCTTAAACAACACATGTCTAATGTGATTGGTATTAGAGAGTTGTAAATTCCATTATGAACTAATTTTTCCTAACAAATTATGCCTTGGAAGCAAAATAAACCAGTCTGTCTTTCTGGGAAGCTTGGGGAAATTTTCTGCATTTCCTATGTTAACGTACAGCATGTGAACTGAGTATCCTAGCTGTTGGTGTGTTTTATCTAAGTAATAGGAGAATTGAACATAAATCCTTTCATTTTGATATTGCAGCAAGAGACCACGGGAAGACGTGGACATAGAAATGGAGAAGGATGACACCAGAAAGGACATGACTGCTGCCTGCACCCCTCGAAGAAGAATTATCAACTTGACCAGTGTATTGACTCTCCAGGAGGAAATTAGTACCCAGGCACATGCAAGTAAGCAAACCTTTTGCTTCTCAAGACTGTTATTCCACCTACTAAATACGGTTGTTTCAACTGCTGCGGAAAAAGATATCTAACAGGTGGCCCAGGCAGCTCACTGTGCTGCTAAGCAGCCTTTCAACAAAAATGTTTGGACCAAACTTTGAACAGGCATTTGCTGTCACTGAGTCACACTGGAGATTGTTTTAAAAACTTCCATGTACCTTGTTAGTTGACAGACATTTTACGCATGCTAAATATTTTGCAAACCTTAACTTGCATCATAACTAGTAACACTATAAAATCACAGCTTGAAAAGCAACGTTATTTTGTAGTTTTCAAACAGAAGTGACAGGTATGTTATGGTCATGACAAAAATTTTGCTTAGTTGCATGATTGTGAAGTAGTCTGGGACAGGCTTCATCATTTTTATTTACAGCTTTTGCTTTTCATTCTCATTTGTATCTGTCCCACTTCCATGAAATGATAAGACTGGTGAAATATTACTCTCCCTCCTCATAAGAGTGGTTTTTTTTTTTTTTTAGAAAAAGGTAGAAGGAGCGCAGTTCTTCCTAGGGTTGTTTCCGAAACTCTTAGCTCTTTCAGTTTCCTTCAGAGTCACACTGAGTTGCATAACTCATATTATTCAGTTAGTCTAAATGTTGGGAATCTTGTGTTCTGGGGGTTTTGTTGAATTTATTTTGACTTTTCTGGTAGTAAGAACTGGGGATGCTCCACAGCTAAAATGGCTAGACTAACAGACATCTGTAATAAATGACTTTTTTATGAATTACTAAAAATCTTGATCTTTAGAAAGCATGTACTTATGCTTTGGTTGTGCTCCAGAAAAGTTTTGCATTAGGCTGGTAATTCTGAGCCGTTAATTCCATAACTGACTGTCACTTTAAATACTGAAATTAGAAAGTTGTCCCCGAGTCACAAAATGATGAAAAATGTCTCAAAATATATGGTAGAACTTGTGCAGCTGCTTGAGGTTGTGTTTTCTCTTTACATGTGTAAGAAATACCTACAGGAGACCTTTGCAAGAAAGAAATAACTCTCCTCACAATATTGTATTGCTTTGGCAAAAGTAACAGTGGAACGGGGTAGCGTAGTGCTTTGTACGTGCTGTGACTGCAGGGCCAAGCTCCTGTAACAAAGCTGCTCCCAAGGACTGCAACTAGTGACATTTTTTTGTGGAATGCCTAAAATGAACTCTTACTGTGGAATCTGACTTCTCATACTTTTTTTT